CGCTCACACTCGGACAAGCCAGGCGAGGCACCTCCGTTTAGGGTTTAAGGCTTGTCGCCCAATATCTCCTTGTAGGGGGTTGGGCACAGTCCGAAGAAAACTCCCACTCTCGCTTTCGCCACTCTTGGCCACGGATCGCTTGGCCAAACCTTCTTGCGGTTGGTGTCCTTGTCAATGCTGGAGGCAACCTTCAAAGCCATAGAGGCCCCTGTTGCTGAGCACCTGCAGCCCCTCTCTTGCGAAGGCCTGGGCCCTTCTCCACGTTGAACAGAGCCTAGTAACTCTCAGGGCGTGTGTGCTGCAGCTGAGGTACTTTTTCTGGACGCACTCCCTGGCATCTGCTGCTTATATAACTGCTCTGGCGTCCTTCCTTGCTTTGCGGGCATTCTTCTTTCCGCGCTCAAATTTTACATCAGCTTCCCCACCCCACACCGCTTTTTGGAACCTTCGCGATGCAGCTGCTCACTACTGCAGGGTAGGCGTGCTAGCCAACTCGGTACGCCTGTCCGGGTCTTTCTGGGACTCGTGGCGTGAGGATTTTACCACCACCGGGGCCACATTCGCTCGTCACAGTCGCTCGTCAAGATGAGGCTTTGATGGTGCTGGTCAACTTTGGGAGTTCTCTGCCTGGGTGACTAGGCAATTGCAGGCTAAAGGCCCTCGACCGTTCACACTGCAGAGTCGTTCTCCCTTCGCTTTGCCGGGCATGTCAGTGGCATCTTCTGTTATTTGACATCTTGCGCCTGGCCTGCACACCCGCCTGACGCACCGTTCCCCGATTTAGCGGTCCCGTTGCATGGCGAGAGCGGTCTGAGATGCGTGGGTGGGGGGGGGGGGGGGGGGGGGAGATGGCATTGTTTCACTCAGTCACTCACTCACTCACACACCCACACACCCACACACCCACTCACGCACGCACTCAGAATTGAAGTTGCAACTTACCTGTCGCCACTCGGAAGGTGAGTCCACAACCATTTCTAATATCTGGACTGGGACCCCTGAGTTCACCGATTTAAGATCTTCTGACCGGGTGACCGCATATTTACGGAGTCGTGGGGGGCCGGGATATCCAAGTAACATGGTGCACAAGTGAACCTTGTCTGACCATAAGCTGCATGCTGAGGCCTGTTGAAGTGCTCGTCCTGCGGCTCGCTTGTTCTGCAGGTGCAGAATGCAAGGCATCCCGCGCTGCCTTTGACTGAGAATGTGCTCCATTTGCACTGCTCAAGTTCTTCAAGACATCACGTGACAAACGATGCCAAGACTCCATCGTCAGCACAGTCGGCAAAGGCTTTTTGGCAAACTTCGGGCACAAGGGTGACAGAGCAAGTGGCTGCAAACAGGAAGGGTGGATGAAACACAAATACATCACAGCATGCCATGTCTTAAGATTCTGCACTTGGCACCCTGAAACCGTGCACTTGTGTTGCTCTCGGGTCACTGCTGAATTGTAGCAAGAACTGCCACAGCCAGCCAGCGTAAAAGGAGCATGGCCTGCAAACGTCAATGTGTGATGACCGCATCAGGTTGTGACATTGCAACGGCTCCGAATGGTGAAGGTCAAACGCATCAAGCACCCACCTCCAGCTCCACGTGGCACTACCACAGATTCATAGATGCATTATAGACTGATTTGACAGATCTCGGAACAACCTTCCAATGCGCCCCGTCGCTTGCTGTGTGTGTGTGTGTGTTTGCCTTGACTTGCGGAATGTGGCCGAACCGAGTGGGGCTGGCTGCTTGGCTACAGTAATCTTTCTGCACAACGGGTACAATGGTCCAACTCCATCGACACCTCGAGCTCGCAGCTGTCTTGACAAGCATTGCATCTTTCAATGCCCCATGCGTGTACATTCCCGGAACGTAGAGACTGCGCAAGTGTGATGGTTCGTATGCAGCTGACAAGCACGCACGCTTTTCACGCATCCTGTACTTCCAGCCACCCTACTCAATGGACGGCTTCAGAGCCCCAACAAAAACCGTTGAATCATCTGCGTGCCGGGGGGTGGGGTTTATAAGTTTATCCAAGGCAAGTGACCTAAGTGAGCATGAACAATCGAGCAACTTTGAAATTTAAACCTGTTTGAGCGTTGCCATCTGACTGCAACATGTTTGCAGTGGGCTTGCTGCTAACTTCGGTCGGAATCGTCATAGCTCGCGGTGAGACGTCGGTGCACTTGTTTGGGGCAGCTGACCTTGACGTACAATGTAGCCTCCTTGAAGCACCATGAGTCGCCGACCATGTGCCAGTCGCGATGCACATCACTACCTGGACGAGACCAGGAAAAGTGCCGGTCAAGACTGAACTGCCGTGAGCCTGTCTGCCATGCTGTCGTCTGAGGCATGTTTCCGAAATGGCCTTGGCTAGACACTGGCGTTGCGATGGGAACACGCGTGCTCGGACGACAATCACTCAGGCAAGCGCGCGTCAGTTTTCTACGTCACGGCGGAACTATCTGTGGCAGCGTAGGACGATCCCCACCTTTGTAGTGCAGTCGCTGATTTCTTCTTGATGTTCTCACTCTTGTGTGGTTTTTGGGGTCTAGGTCCTAGGCTTCAATGAGCCATCTACTGCTTCAACAACAAAATTCGTGAGACAGCCGAATGGGCACTTCCTCCACTTACAGATCTGATTTCTGCTAGCGACAGTGACATGACAAATGGTGGTGGGGGAGTTGTGCCGTTGTTTACGGAGACTCGCACCGAAGCAGCAAGCGGCTGAAAAAACCGGTGCTTCAGAGATATCTGCACTCCTGAGACTCCTGAGTCCTGTGTGGGGCTGTGCTGCGAGGGTTCACGCAGCGTTTCTGAGGTCTGCTGTGCCCTCCACCACACCGCGCTGCCGAAGTCGAGTCCGCTTTGATTCCAAACATGTCCATTTTCTAACCATGCGCCATCTGAAGACCACTAACATTCTTAGAACCCCTAGCGCGCCTCACCGCTTAGAAAGCCCACAACTTCCAACCTTTTTCCCTAACCTGAGAAAATGAAAATGGTCTCTTCTAATAAAATACCTATAGTAGAAATGAGGTTTGGGGATAAGGTTGTAACAAAAACCAAGTTGTAATCTGCAGCAGCTTAAGAAACACAGTCCGTATGCTTACCAAATAGCATGCAGCAATCTCCTCAAAACCATCGTCATCGTTAAGTAGCAACTGATGAACGTGATTCAACACATTATCCATATCGGGCTTAAGTTTATCGCGTTCATGCTGCGTTTTCGTATTGTGCCTTCATTTCTTTCTGAAAACTGTCTTCTCTTCATTCAGATGTTTTTCCCCACCCTCGGCGTGGGGTTGTTGATTTTAAACTCAACTCTTCTCCTCGCCCGGAACTCTTCCCCTGAGCGCCCGGAACTCTTCTCCTCGCCCGGTCTACTCCTCGCTCATCCCTGGAGTGCCCAACCCCAAAGTGTCCCTGCCCAACTCTAAGAGTGCCCCAGAGTGCCCAACACCAGAGTCCGGAGTGCCCAACCCTGGAGTGCCCAACTTTCGAGTCTCCCTGGAGTGCCCAACCTCAGAGTAGTGCCCAACCACCTGGAGTGCAACCCCGGAGGGCCAGCCTTAGGAGGCCCAACCCCAGAGCCTCCGCAGTGCCAACCTTAGGAGTGCCCAGCCCAGAGTCTTCCTGGAGTGTCCAACCCCAGAGTCTGCCTGGATTGCCCAACCCCGGATTGTTCATGGAGTGGGTCTCTCTGAAGTGCCCAACCCCAGAGCGTCCCCAGAGTGAGTGTCCCTGGAGTGCACAACCCCAGAGTATCTCTGCCAAGAGAGGGTGGGGATGTTCGAACAATGTTCGAAGTATATAAATAACTTTTCGCAAGGGACTCGACTGCTGCCCTTTATGCCCAGCCCGTTCGCGCGACATGGGCACGCAATGCAAAATGAAAATGCGCCTCCCAGCTTTGGTGTCTTGCTTTGTGGCCGTTTGCTTCGCATCATTGGCCTTTGCTCTATCATCTCTTTTTGCTTGGGGTATATTCTCTCTGATTCTTGCCGTGGCATTTCGCTTGAGAAGGGCACCTAGTACCCGTCAATCTCTTCAAAATCCTTTGATGCACTACAGGATTTACATTGCCTTCTTTACTGTTGGAATGTTTACAGGGGTGTGGGGCAACAAAAGAAACGAGCCAACCATTACCACACTCTCATGACATGCTTCTGGTATGAGAGGGCGTTGCTACCACGACAAGAAAAAAAGATCCACACCATAACAAGGAAATTTCGGGACCACGACAGAAAACAAGCTTTCCACGACAGCGAATGAAACCTGAACACGACAAGGAATGAAACCTCGATGCTGGGTAAACACCCCTCCCTAAGCCCTTAACACCCCTCCCAAAGCCCTAAACACCTCGACGCCCCTAAGCCCTAAGCCCTACACCCTATGGGGGGGGGCTAGGGCACACAAGAAATGCGGAATCACCGTTTTGGCGTCACGGGGAAGGGGGGGGCGGTTGGCTGGATGTGACGGGGGGGGGGGGGGGGGGGGGCACACAGAATTCTCAAGGTTTGAAAATGCCAAAACGGGGGGGCTCGCACAGAAAATGCTGTGGAATCACCGTTTTCGTGTTTTCAGGGCCATACTGGCAGGGTTGACCCTAAACCCTTGTCAGTGTAAGAAAAAACCTTGTCGCTGCAGTTGTAAAGCTTGTCAGTGTGCACCTAAACGGTGTCGTGGTAAGAACGCACTCTGCTTCTGGTAGAATACCCACGCGGTCTTAAAATGTCTCAGGCTTACTGTTCTATACATCTGGGGCGGAGGTGTTTTTTTTTCCTAACGTTGGCCCTGGCTGGTTGGCCTTGCTAACGTTGGCCCTGCCATTCCTGGCTTTAAATGCTATGAAATGCAGCATTTCTGGTTGCTTGCCCAAAACGCTCAAAAAAACAGCGTTTCTGGGTATTCCAAAGCTCGGAATGCTGTAGGTTACAGCATTTGTGACTTTTTGTAGGCTCTAATTGCTGAAAAATGCAGCATTTCTGTGTTCTTCTAATTTTGTAGTTGTTGTATTTTCTAGTGTATTCTTGCATATAATTTAATATTCTTGAATATTGTTGAATATTCTTGAGTCTTCAAGAATATTATTGAATATTGCTGAATACTATTGAATATCATTGAATATTGTTGAATATTATTAATCATATTGAATATTATTGAATAATATTCAGTATTCTTGTCTATTATTGTATCTTATTGTGTACTGTTGTATATTATTGTTTCTGCGGGTATCTTTTTGAACATATTTGGGCAATGCATACTATTTATTCTTGTATATTCTGGTCCATTTATTGTTTAGTAATCTACTGCTTTACATGCTGTACACGATTGTAGATTACTGAAATATTTTGCATATTATTGTAGATTATTGTATACTCTGGTCTATTCTTGTTTAGTAATCTATATTTTTGATATAATTGTGTATAACTGTATATTATCGTATTCTATTGTCAAAAACGATTGTATCTCCTTATATGTTCTTGTATGCTATTGTATATTATTGCATATTATTGCATATTATTGTATATTATTGTATATTATTGTATATTATTGTATATTATTGTATATTATTGTGTATTCTGGCATTCTGAAACATCAGTGTATTGTCTTATATTATCTTGCATGTTATTGTATGAATGGCATATTGTTGTATATTATTGGATATTATTGTCTACTTTTAATATTCTTGTATATTACTGCATATTATTGTTGTTTTTGAAAATTTATTGTCTACCATTATACATTACTCTATATGATTCTATAGTATTGTATATTATTCCATATTATTGCACATGATTGTGCATTATTGCATGTTTTTTTGTAGATTACTTCATATTATTGTACATTATTGTATATTATTGGTATAGTATTGTAGGCCATTGTATATCATGGTATATTATTGGATATTGCTGTATATTATTGTATGTTTTTGTATATTGTTGCTTTTGATTGAATTATTGTAAATTACTGGAGATTATTGTAAGTACTTCTTTTTTATGTATTATTATATTACTGTAATATTAAATATTAAATATTAAATATTAAATATATTCAAATATAAATATTAAATATTAAATATTAAATATTAAATATTAAGTATTAAATATTAAATATTATCTATTATATATAATATATTATATTGTTTATTATATTCTATTTTTATTTTATGATACTATATTATATATTACATCATTTTATATTATATTGTATTGCATTATATTATATTTTATTAACATATATATATATATATATATTTATTTATTATATACTATTATATTACATTGTACTATGTTTATATAGACATATATATATACACATATATATATATATATATTCTTATGTCATACTACATAGCAACTATACCATTATCATGATGTCCAAAACAAGTACATAAAAAAAAAATCTGACCACGGGACTGGGAAACCACGGGACCAAAGGACGAGAGGACCACGGGACCAGAGCACCAGAGGACCGTAGGACCAGAGGACCAAGGGACCAGAAGGCCAGAGGACCAGAAGACAAGCGACCAGAGGGCCAGAGGACCAAGGGACCAGAGGACCAGGGGACCAGGCGACCAGAAGGCCTGGGGCCAACGTTACCAAGGCCACCAAGCCACGGCCAACGTTAGGAAAAAAAAACACCGGGCCCTACACCTGGCACTGACATAAACATCTGTAAGCAACTTATTCTTTCAACAACTCACGCTTCTTATGCCGACTGTTGATAACCCTCTCGTCATCTATTATAGCACTAAAACTAGCATGAAACACTCTGACCTTTCTTCGTTCAGTAAACCAACTGGTTTAGTTTTCGGACTTTTCTTTCTTAAAACAAGCAATGCATACATTTCTATTACTAAAATTGTTCTTGCAATTCATTAATCTCCAGTTCTGTAAAATCTTGAATAATCCATATAATGCTTAACATATCTTTTGGGTTTTCATGGAAAATCATATATGGGTTGGGGTCTGGGAAGGGTCATGTTTGGTCTTGAGGCGTCCGAAGTCGGGATTGGTCTTTAAAAATATGGTCTCGGCTTGCGTTTTGCGAAGCAAACCTAGTAGAAAAAACACATCTGGGTTGGGGCCTGGGGAGGGTCATGTTTGGTCTTGAGGCGTCCGAAGTCGGGATTGGTCTTTAAAAATATGGTCTCGGCTTGCGTTTTGCGAAGCAAACCTAGTAGAAAAAAATACATCTGGGTTGGGGCCTGGGGAGGGTCATGTTTGGTCTTGAAGCGTCCGAAGTCGGGATTGGTCTTTAAAAATATGGTCTCGGCTTGCGTTTTGCGAAGCAAACCTAGTAGAAAAACACATCTGGGTTGGGGCCTGGGGAGGGTCATGTCTGGTCTTGAGGCATCGTAAGTCGGGATTGGTCGTAAGAAACATGGCCTCGGCTGGCGCTGAGGAAGTCAGTGTCATATACAAGAAATTGTGGGCCGCGCTATTGTGCAACCAGGTGTAGCCTAGCTCCTTCTAGAGCGACAAAAACTTCTGGACACGTCCATGAAGCGTCGGTCACGGGTAGAAGTTTTCATCGGAGTTGAAAAAAATCATGGAAGAACGCAGTGCCCCTGAAGCAAGATCCATGCGCCGTAGGATTGAAAACACCCTCCTCAACTTTTCCGAAACATATACAGGCGGTGTCTCTTCGTGAAAGATCCTGGCGCGCGTGCCCATGCCTAGGTTGTAAGTTGTAAGTGGCAAGCAAACACCACGAGAAAAAAAAACTCGACTAGTTTCTGACACGAAAACATGGGCCCCTTGCCCACCCCCCGCCCCCCAAACGCACCCCCACCATCGCACGGTTCCTTCCTTGCTGCCCCCCCCCGCACTCCCGGGCTGGGGCTGGCTGGGGCTGGGGCTGCGGCTGCAGCTGGGCTGGGGCAGCTGCGGCTGCGGCTGGCTGGGGCTGGGGCTGTGGCCGGGGCCGGGGCTGGGACTGGGGCTGGGGCTGAGGCTGCGGCTGCACCCCCCATGGGTCGGTAACCGGTCGGTAACCTCAAACTGCGTGTTTTTTGGGCTCCTGACCGGGTACCGACCCAGTACCGACCGGGTACCGAGCGGGTCTCGACCAGTCCTGTTTGGATCCAACCCGCGCGCGTGGTTGGGGGGTTGGCCAGCCCCACGCAAGCCCCAGCCCAGGCCCCAGCCCCAGCCCAGCCCCAGCCCCAGCCCCAGCCCCAGCCCAGCACCCAACCCCCCAGCCCCAGCCCCCACCCAGCCCCAGAAGCCCCAGCCGCCAGCCCCCCAGCCCCCCAGCCCCACCCCGCCCCCCAGCCCCCAGCCCCAGCCCCCAGCCCCCCCAGCCCCACCCCCAGCCCCCCAGCCCCCCCCCAGCCCCCACCCCCAGCCCCCCAGCCCATCAGCCCAGCCCCAGCCCCCAGCCCCAGCCCCAGCCACCAGCCCCCACAGCCCCACAGCCCCAGCCCCAGCCCCAGCCCCAGCCCCAACCCCAGCCCCAGCCCCAGCCCCAGCCCCAGCCCCAGCCCCAGCCCCAGCCCCAGCCCCAGCCCCAGCCAGCCCCAGCCCCAGCCCCAGCCCCCCAGCCCCAGAGCCCCAGCCCCAGCCCCGCCCCAGCCCCAGTCCCAGCCCCACCCCCAGCCCCAGCCCCAGCCCCAGCCCCAGCCCCAGCCGCAGCCGCAGCCGCAGCCGCAGCCCCAGCCCCAGAGATGGGCCAGAGGGGCTGGAGGGGGGAGGGGGCTGGAGGGGCTGGAGGCGGCGGGGCTAGAGGGGTGGAGGGGCTGGAGGCGGAGGGGCTGGAGGGGCTGGAGGCTGGAGGGGGCTGCAGGGGGCTGGAGTCAGATGCGAGTAGCATCATTAAGTCAAGCAGTTTTGTCCGCCAGACTGGCCTCCATCGAGAACAAAACAGGAAACAGTTTCGACAACAATCTTCACGGAGCAAGTCCAAGATTTCTCAGGATTCATGACAAGGTCAAGCCCCGAAACTTGCAGGGCGGATCCCGGTTTTCAGCGATCTGAACCAAGTTTTTAATGTAATAAACCGCAGACAAATCCCAGATTTCAGATGAGTAGATCCAAGATTCTACTTAGACAGAACCCAGATTTCCGGCCACAAGACCGCAGACAGAACCCAGATTTCCGGCCACAAGACCGCAGACAGAACCCAGATTTCCGCAGACAGAACCCAGATTTCCGGCCACAAGACCTGAGAAAAAACCCGCCTGACGACACCGACTTTTGGGGATATGTTAAGCATTATATGGATTATTCAAGTAAAATCTATCTCTTCCTTAATGCATCCAATGTCTGCTTCAGTGCCTTCTATTATTTGCTCGCATTCTTCGGGTGTTATTTTGTTTGCGGTGTCGAATCCGGTGCTACGTATTTCAACACGTCCCGCTTGCTTCTCGGGATTGATTATGCCGTCCTCATCAGGTGATACATGCCGACCACCAATATTCAAACTATGTCTATCTTCCCTCCTGCCAATTGTTATTACGTTGCTATTGTGCATGATATGGAGCAGGGTATATATTTCTTGTACCCCCAAAAGGACACCAGGTATATACACTCACCAATATTAAAGAGGAACCTTATATACACTCACCGAAAACAGAAATATAAACCCTGCTTCAATATGACTGACGCGTAAATCTACAAGGGATGCAAGATACCCGCATTGATGAACAACCTTTCTCTTTGTCACTGTCATCACTTCCTCAGCCAACCAGGCGCGAATGCCGCTGACACCATGCTAGAGACACTGCAGCTCAAAGCTCAAAAGCTGTGCGTTACGGCAGGCTTGAAGCACTGTTGTCTCTTTTTCTTAACAGGGGAGAGCTGGTGGTGAACCGCATGCTTTGTTTGGCTTGTCCTTGTACTCCCAGGCCGCACGTTGCAGCTGACCAAGGGTTAGCTACATGGCTGCGCCATTTGCGTTAACCCCTTTATGAGGATCAACAAGCTTAACCGAAGGCAAGCGGCTACTGGAGGCTGGAGGGAAAGCAGAGTCCGACAGCTATCCCACAATATCGAAGGAGTGATTCTTTGCCGGTTGCGGATACGGCTTGGCTCGGCTGCATGGACTGGACTGACCACTGCCGCCCACGGGTTGGTTTGGGAGTTCACGGTGTTCAAGTTCGCAGCATCTGTCTCGTTTGTATCCCATTTTGATTCAGGCTAAGAGGGTTTCAGCAGCCAAGAGCCCCAGCCTGCAAACACTTGCCTCACCTACCTTCCCTCCCTGGTTGCTTCATGCACCGATATCACACCGCATGAGATTCGCTACATCTGTCCATGCTTCATCCGAACTTCAGCCTGAGGCTTCAGCCAATTGTCTACAAAACCACGCTCTGGATGCCAAGAAATGGCATTCAGGCGTGGAAGAGGCTGAAGCAGCTTACTGCCTCCAGTGCGCATGGTGTCCAACTCCGATTGCTCCAAGTAGCCTCGCAGACTGCCTAGTCCTTCGTATTCGTCTGCTTGCTGCGCAACTCCCCCTTCTAACCTGGGCACAGCATTTGCCAAGACGGCTACAGTCTGAGCAAGGCCGCAGCATTACACTAAATACTCGAGACTAGACCCCCAGCCATCTAAGATTTGCTGCGGCAGCTTGACTTGACAAAGTCTATGTCGGCAAGGCGACAAAGTCATTTGATGGCATGTTTTGCTGATGTATTGCCATTTATCAAATTATTTGCGTACCAAATTCCATGCGATGCTTGCCGGCCTAAGCCACAGCTGTCCGTGAGGACAGCGCGTACTGTTGCAACCTACCAAGCCAGGACGGAGGTGTATTTGTCGTGGTGTTGGCTCTTTGCGCGTTCCATTTGTTGTCGATCCTTTTTGCGCAACTTTGCTTGCCACACTCTGACATCGATAGGCCCAGAATTGCCCCCTGGGGAAGCCTGTAGGGGCTGCGGCGGCAGGGCTACTTGTCTTCGTGCCCTGGCGCCGAGGGGATTGGTGGTTGTGGGGTTTCCACTGCTCCCCTTTTTCTGTGCCTTACACATGGCCTGTGGCAGGGGTTCAGTTCGGCCTTGTCCGCTCTGCTTCTGCTGTGAGCCCATGGGCGTGTGAGGGTTGTGCTGCCTGCCGGTGAGATAGTGCTGTCCTTTGTGCTGTCTAGTGAGTCTAGTGCTGGGTCGACACATGTCGACACGTTATCTTGCAGCGCTGCGATGGGCGGCTTCAGTAATGCGAAGCCGGCGGAGGCCTCTTGCAAGGTTCTCCGTTGTTGGTGGGCATGGGCTCAGCTGACCCGGCACTCGTGTGAGTGTCATGTGCGTGTGCGCGTGCGTGTGCGCGTGCGTGTGCGCGTGCGCGTGCGCGTGAAAGAGTACGTGCGCGAGTACGTGCGTGCGTATGCGTGCGCGTGCGTGCGTGTGCGTGCGTGTGCATGTGTGCATGTGTGCGTGCGTGCGTGCGTGCGTGCGTGCAAGGGTGGGTGGGTGGGTGGGTGTGCGTGTGCGCGTGCGCGTGCGCGTGCGCGTGCGCGTGCGCGTGCGCGTGCGCGTGTGCGTGCGCGTGCGCGTGTGCGTTGGGTGTGTGGGTGTGTGGGTGTGTGGGTGTGTGGGTGTGTGGGTGTGTGGGTGTGTGTGTGTGGTGTAGTGCACGAAGTGCACGGAATGACATGTTGCGAGCATTGTGTGCGTGTGTGCGCAGAGTCATGCAGGTTCTTTGTGTGTGTAGCCCAGAAATTTCGAACCCTCCCACTCCGCCCAAATCAAATCGGTGGGGTGGCAGGTAGTCTCACGCATCCGACGTTTGTGGTCGGCGCGAATAGAGACGACCTACCGCCGCCTGCCGACTCCTACGCAAAAAGAGCGAGCGTCCTTTCAATCCGTTCACTTTGCGAGCATGTCTGTGTGTGTGTGTGTGTGTGTGTTGGTTGTGTGTTGTGTGTGTTGTTTGTCTGAGTGTGTGTGCGTTGTGCGTTGTGCGTTGTGCGTTGTGCGTTGTGCGTTGTGCGTTGTGCGTTGTGCGTTGTGCGTTGTGCGTTGTGCGTTGTGCGTTGTGCGTTGTGCGTTGTGCGTTGTGCGTTGTGCGTTGTGCGTTGTGCGTTGTGCGTTGTGCGTTGTGTGCTGTGCGTTGTGCGTTGTGCGTTGTGCGTTGTGCGTTGTGCGTTGTGCGTTGTGCGTTGTGCGTTGTGCGTTGTGCGTTGTGCGTTGTGCGTTGTGCGTTGTGCGTTGTGCGTTGTGCGTTGTGCGTTGTGCGTTGTGCGTTGTGCGTTGTGCGTTGCGTGTGTGTGTGTTGTGTGTTGTGTGTGTTGTGTGTGTTGTGTGTGTTGCGTGTGTTGCGTGTGTTGTATGTGTTGTGGGTGTTGTGTGTGTTGTGTGTGTGTTGTGTGTGTTGTGTGTGTTGTGTGTTGTGTGTGTTGTGTGTGTTGTGTGTGCTGTGTGTGTTGTGTGTGTTGCGTGTGTTGTGTGTGTGTTGTGTGTGTGTGTGTGTGTGTGTTGCGTGTGTGTGTCTGTGTGTGTTGGTTGCGTGTGTGTGTGTGTGTGTGTGTGTTTGTGTGTGTTGTGTGTGTTGTGTCTGTGTGTGTCTCTGTGTGTCTGTGTCACTGGGCGTGTGTGTGTGTGTGTTGTGTGTGTGTGTGTGTATTGCGTGTGTGTGTGTGTGTGTGTTTGTGTTTGTGTTTGTGTTTGTGTTTGTGTTTGTGTTTGTGTTGTGTGTGTGTGTTTGTGTTGTGTGTGTGTGTGTGTCGTGTTGTGTGTGTGTACACTCCTGATTGCAAAGGATGAAGTAAAAATAAAGTGCAGCGGGCAGGGAGTCCACAGTTCTGCTGCCAACGAAGACAGCTGTGGATACTCCGTGCAGCAGATTGGGACGCCAATCTGTCTACCTGCGCAATTACATTCGAGCCTTCTGTGTATATAGTTATGTCCTCATGATGCAACCAGAACTCGGATGCTGTACAGTCAATAAATCTTGACGACTCCTTAGAGAGTGCGGACCTGTGTGTGTGTGTGTGCGCGCGATCCCTCTGGCGGCGGCCCGCTATGTATAGGCCAGAATATATATATATATATATACATATATATATATACATGTGTATATATATATATATATTTGTTCCCGGCATTGCTGGTAGATCTGGTAGCTGCTGTTGCCCCCTTACTGGCTTGTTGCTGGCCACCTTTCATTTCCAGGGTGGACTGGTCTGCGCGTGCTGGGGGCTGTGTGCTTTCAGTTCAGCAGGCCAGGCTTTGGCTCAACGAGGACCCTCAACACGTTTCGAGACAAGTGCCGGGCTGCAGCACAAGATGCGCAGCACCGCGATCTGCAACACATATCCATTGAACCTGTCTCAGAAAGGGCACGTCAAGTGTCAAGTGCATTGCTCGGGTGGTATGGTCGATCATGGCAAGCACGGCCTGACTCGTGCCACGGCACCCGCCTGCTGCAGGCCATGCACTTACAACACTCGGCACTGCTGCACAGAACTGTGACTAGCAGCATCCGTCATAAGGCCTCCGCGATCAAAGTCTACCTGGCGATCAAAGTCTACCTGGCAACTGCTCCCGAAGAATAGTTAGTGCATGCATTCAGTATGCATTCAGTGTCACCACTCTGTCACGCCTGGCTTTTTCGATCTGAACCCAAGTTAGATTCAAGGGCAGCATAGGAGCAAGCATCCACTCCTAATCATTGGAAAGTCGTACCCACACTGAATTTGATTGCGAGATCAACCTGGTTGCTGGTAACCCAACGGAACCCTGCCAAATCTTCAGCAACAACCAAAGATTACCGGACGTCCACCTGTCAGAGCCTCACACATCCTCCACCAGCATTCTTCTGTAGTCTTGGGGTTGTGCTGGCGGATTCTTTGAGGTTCACATTCTGCAGACCATCATGCGCACAAACCTTGGCGGGCAAACCTGCACATGCCGATCTTCAAGCATGGATGACTCGCACGGGCACACCTGCGCTTGCGGGACCGGTGCTCGCCTTCTGTGTACTCCATCAGTGTGACTATCAGGGAACAACAGGCATAAGAGGGGGGGGGGGGGTTGCTGGCAACTCTCGCAGGGGGTTCCAGGTCGAAGCCATCCAAAGCCACAAGAGCGCCACCCGTGCATGGTCCTGTACTGGTACTGTGTTTACCTCGGACCTAGCTCATGCGTTACGGTGACTCCCATACATGAAGAGCCCCACTGGCTTCTGCATACTTCTTGGCATCAACAAGGATCCCTGCCCTTTGAGCACAATCGCGCACAACAGTGCCCAAAAGGAAAACTGGGTTGATGTGCGTCGACGGCATCAGGACTAAGTAAGACTTACCGTAGCTGGCTGTTGTCTTCGGATGGGCAACCCCACTGAAACTCAGCAGGAAGCTCAGGAAGACGCGGAAGTCATGGCGCACAAGCAAGTCCTTGTGCTCAACAGTGGCATGTCCGATCGGCCCTCTTGACTTCGTGGAAACAAGTGTCAATGGGACAGCAAGGCAGTGTAAGAACGCTGCACTGACCAGAAGATGTGACCATGCTCGTCAAAGACGGTCGCATCGACAAAGACATGTTCAGACCTAGCAGGGGTGCTGCTCATCATTGCCTGGATTTGGCAGATTTGCAGCCTCGTGCGAGTAGTGGCGCGTCATTTTTTGGCACGTTCAGATTCAGGCACATAGTGGCACATAGTGGCACAAATAGTGGCACCAATAGTGGAACATCCGAGGCGCAAGACAGACTTGAAGGCCGCTGTCTGGAACACAATGCCTGGCTGCCGGACGCATGGAAACCTGGAGCAGCTTGGCAGCTTCTTAGCAGCTTCCTGGCAACTTCTTGGCAGCTTGTACTTCGTGGACCGTCGTCTCTGGCCCAGAGACTCTGGAACACAAGCTAAGACTAGCCCAGAAGCGGCGGTTGGTGCCCGGACTCGTGAGGAGCAAGAACTTCAAAGTGGCACACCTTCAAATCACAGGGAGCCGTTCGCACAAAATGTCATTGAGCGCCTTCGTGACTTGCAGGAATGCCTCTGCATGGAATTTCGCGTCTGGGCGCCGCCCAGGACAATATGCACTTGGACGGCTCTTCTCCTGGATGCTCCGCATAATTCGATCGCGTAGCTCTACTGTGCAAAGAAAGTTGGCCACTAGCCAGGGAGGAAGGAACACACTGACAAAGCACCCCATGCGAAACCCCATCGACGCCAATCCGTTCCCGAAAAGCATGGCTCGTGATGGCTCGTGATGGCTCGTGATGGCTCGTGATAGCAAAAAATCAACAATTGACACACTTACAAAGGCAGACTTGGAACCCTGGAGACCGATGAGCTGTGACCTACGGAGCCTCAGAAACTGGCATGTCGTCTCAAACTTTTCCTATCTGAGATTCTACGGAAGGACTCACAGAGTCTGCTGATTCTCGACTGGGCCTGGAGCATCCACACGCACACATAAGGAGGACAATCACGCTTCGAGTTCCAAAACTTCCAGCTGGACATTCTAGCGTCGCTTCAAATCAGGGCATCGTGAAGGCCCACAGCTCCTGCGAGTTTTGCTGAGAAGTGGCCAGATCTTGCTGCGTTTGCACAACCTCACACATTTGATCTGATTCCTGTTTCGCGTCGTGCAGCCGGATTCATGAAGTGGCGCAAGCGCTCAGGGCACCACACATGGTGCGCTCTTCACAGCAACCTTACCCACAAGAAAGCATGTCAGAGCAACGTCAGGCACGAGAAGAAACACCGAGTCCCAAACATTGCCGAGACAGCCGGCTCTGCCGCGACCGAGCCCGAATGCTGCAACCTTGTAGAATGTATTGGCAAAGCACTCGGTCTTTGCCCCTCGAAGGGTGAGCAGCAGACTATAGCCGTGCAGGCCCAACAAGGAGTCTAGATCATCGGAACCAGGACGTCCTGCTAGACTGCGCCAAGCTTCACAGTCCGGCCACAGTGACTGAAATATGTGCTTGTAAGTCAAGTTCACATACATGCCTGCAAGGGTTTTGCTGCTTGTCCAGAAAGCCAAGAGAAGCCTTCCACAAGGACTCCGAACAAATTTGATCTCGCCGTTAACGAACGCATCTCCCCAGGCATCCAGATCCACATCGGCTGTCAGCAGAACTTCCTCTCGTCCGATGGCAGAGGAACGCCCAACACAACGGAGTCGAAAGGGGCACAAGACTTGTAAAGATGCAAAGCTGCACCTCAAGCAGACCGCCGAATCGAACGGCTGAGTTGATGTTTGACTGAATTCCAGATGAGCCGCAGGGGCATTTCGTGCATGAATGGACATACTATATCGGATACGTAGCGCCTCGTGCAGCTTGCGAAGGTCCGGAAGTCCATCCCTGCGCCTGGATTTCCGCATAAGAGCAGGTAAGCTCCTGCGAATGAAAGTTTCACGTGCATGCCGCAACCGTTCCACAAATCTCTGGCGCCAGCCAGCGTCCGGTAGCATCTGCACCTCCCGTTCGAGTGGCCATCGCAGCCGATACAAAGTCTCCCAAAATGCATCCCCAGAGCATGTATCACGAAGCTGTCGCGAAGATGCTTTTAACGAACAAACATCTCGCACATTGTGGTACGCAATGGTCTGCTGAATCAGGTCTGCAATGTTCACAAAGGCTGCAATTGGCACGCCTTGCTGCAAGCCCGGGGTCCCCCGTGCTCTCAAAGCTGGCCCACGTCCAGGAGCCACTCCTTTTGCTGAAGGGCGCAAAGGACCCTGGCGAAGTGCGCCGGGATGTCGTGAGGATGGTTGAGGCAGGGCTTTCGCATTCCTAAAGCTCCCGCGTGCAGTGTACGACGTCCTCCCATCTGCTCGCCGATCTCCGGACACTGCAACAGGAGGACATGTAAATGTCTCTGGTGCCTCCATGCCACTGGACCTTTCAAGCTGCTGCCAAAGCGGCCAAAGCGAAACCAACGCGTTCCTGTCCCATCCAGGGCGACGCAAGTGACTGACAGGAGGCAGACTCCACTTGTAGCTATGAGCCGCCGGTTCGCATATGTATATCGCTGCCATGTACAACAAGCACCAAGTATAAATTCACGGGTATAAGGAGGGACTTCTAGAAACTACATTACCCCTAAGGCCCTTCATCTAGGTCCTAGGTCCTTCCTTTGCCAGACAATCCCTGCGATGTCCGGGGGTTAGTGGTGGCATTCCCAAGAGGCTCAGAGAGCGCGCACAAGCAACATCGAGGCGTTGCCTCGCATTTCGTGACTCATTGAGTAATCACAAGCATCCACCCATCCACCTGCTAAAAGGATGCCGGCGTGGACCCCAAAAATCCGAAAGCAGTTAAGCCTTTCTCGCGCCACGCACCATATTCCATCGCCACCCCCACGCCCCAATCAGGGCTGTAATTCGCAGCAATCTCCAACAACACGAATCATTGTCCCACACTGACAGGGTGTCCAGGAATCAACAGTTGCTGGTCGTGGGAAAAGAGCCAGCATGGATCAGCAGCCAGGGTGGGAATTCAAGGATTCAGCTATATTCAGCTAGGGCTTGGGGCGACTCACGAGTGACGGGGTCACTCACATGCAAGCGGGGGAATGGGGGTGGGAGGGGATACTATGGGGATGCTATGGGAAGGGGGGGGGGGTAGAAGCTCTGGGCTCCCCAGAGGGCCAAGGCACCGAGACCAAGAAACATAAAAATTTCAAGTCCTGGGAGGAGAATATCTTAGTCACACCACGCTCTTGTGCTTTCCCCAGTGCTCTCGTGAACTTCGATTGAAAACCAATAACAACTTGGTTGGCGGATCTGATCCCCATCTCGTGCCAAACCATCGCAGTGCTGTGCTGTGAATGCTCATGTTTGCTACGTTGCTTCAATTTGCCAAATTGAAAGATCGTTTCGTGCAGGTTTGCAGCCACGATAGCTCCGACTGCCCCCCTTCCCACAATCAAAAAAAGCAAGGGCAAGTAACGAATACTGTACCATATGGACCACAACTATTGCGAACACACTATCAGTATACTTGTTACACATGCACTTAAGCGTTGGGGGGGAACCGGGAAGTACAACTATCATCATTCTACTGCCTTAACAGACTATTGAACGTCTCTATAAATCAATGTGATTTTATTACGCAAATTGAGGATGTACTGGGCCGGAATAAAAAACTAAATTGTATGTGCACTTGACTTATCTTCTTATTTATGTAGACAGCTTCGACCCGACAATTGGTACAGTCAGTATATTATCATAATGGAAGCAGGGAGGCGGCGAGCAGATGTGTTGAGTTTTTGATCCCCCCCTCCCGGCCCCCCTCCCCCCTCCACCCTGGGGCAGGGGGGGGGCGCGGGGGGGGGCGGGGGGTTGCGAGCCCATGTATATATAGATAGATAGATATGTATGTATATGTATCTGTACAAATATGTTTGTAGAAAGATCCGCAATATCAAGAAGGGAATACCGCGAAAGACCCGAATCCTCAAGAAGCAGCCCCCAAATGAACTCCATCCTTTTTGCCGATGCACAAAATGAAATACACTTTGATCTTCAAGCGCCTTGAGGATCTTGCACGGCGCTTGCGCGCCACATGTACGCTTTTTAGGTGTTTTTGTAGTGGTTCGCCTCACAACGAACTATCTTCGGATGGGTAGCGGATATCGGCATCAACCGATTGCGATACAAGTCCTCGAGCTTGAACTTCTTTTTGTAGCTGCTTCTCTTCTTGCATACTCATACTCGAGGGCCAAGCGATAGGCCTCTGCTTGAAATCTTCTCATCTACTTTATTTCTACTTTCAAGAGCACCGACTCTTTTGAAGGAAGTGCCCGCCATCCATGCCCTCCATTTCCCACGGAGCTGACATCCAGAGCTTTGCTGTCTTTGGCACACGTAAGACCGAATGTCTTCAAGCCATCAAGTCCACATGCCAAACCTACGCAAACAAGTGAAAGAAAAGCCTACCAGAGCTTATGCAAATAAACCTTTGAACAACTACGTTTCAACTCAGTTTAATCATTTTTCGCAGCTCATATTTGCATTGATCCCATCTACACGGGCAGGGCTGTGTGACTGCCACCCCGGAATCCGCGCAGCCTCGTTGGCATTGGGCAACTGCAGTTTGGGCTAGGGAATTTGTTGCAACAAAAGTGCCCACACGATCTATCAGATACAACCCTGTCGGCTTTCTTTCGCTTGCAGTACCAGGTCTTGAAGCGTGCGCAGGCGCTGTGCTGCCTAGATCGGCAGGTGGGCCCATGACTGTTTAGATCCAGGCCTTTCCAGGCATGATGTATCTACAATTGCCTCAAGAACGCTGTTCGCAGCGACAGTCTTCTCTGTTGTTCCGGGACGCTCTGCATGCCGGTCGAGCAAACTGCAAGCTGACCAAGCAATCAAATCACTCACCGCCAATCACTGCTCGCCTGGCCACAGGGGTTGAGGGAAAGAATTGGACTCTGCGTCCCGCTGCGCCTCTTGTCTCTGTCTTCGTGAAACGGTGATGGCCTGGGGTGGCGGCTTCCAGGCTACCCCGGACGAACAATGTTCGACGAAATTTGCAGAAGTTCAGGAACGCCTTTTTCTCCGACGCTGCATGGCGCTGCCATCATGTCTGCCGGATTCTACGCCCATAACTAAGTAGGTCGATGACCGTTCCTCGAGCTCATTTTTGTGAGAACACCACTTTGGTGAAGCTCTACATGCCTCTGAGATTGAAAGCACTTCAGAGAAGCTGGAACATTGAAACAGGTCAATCGCCACGGATTGGTGCCTTGGTTCATTACATCACTCTGCGTGTGGGGGTACACATGCTTCATAAGCAAGGTGAAATCTGCCGATATTCATTTTGAACAGCCTTGCATTTTTCATGTAGACAGGCTACGTGCCGCGTTGAGCACCACTCCTCGTCTTCCAATCTACTGTCCGGCACCAGGTTTGCCCTTGCGTCTGATCCTGTCAACTGCTCCAAAACAGTTGCATGCAACATGATTCTTTCAGGAGGGACTGGCCAATGTGATGGCCTGGCCTGCCTGACCTTTTTGACCTTTCTACCCGGCCTTGCCATGATGTGCTTCACCTTCTTTCGACGATCCTTCTCACCCGGGGGACAAAGGTGACAAAACGCACATTGCCTCAGTGAAGCTTCTCGTGCACTATATGCAAATACAGTGGACACAGTTATGCGGAGTACATGCCATTCGAGGGGTCTGCGAGACCCTGAGGCCTGCACATGCCACTCTGGCAACCTTTCGTGTACACGAAAGCGCACGGCTTACAAGTGCCATCCTCGTGCGCCATTGAACCCGTCATGGCCGGCAGCGATGGCGTAGGCAGCGGTGGCGTAGGCTGCTCCGGGACTTGCATCTGCACTTCTGGCATTGCAAAGCCGGTGGTGTCATCGAAGCCATAACACACGTCATGGGGAGCCATGGCTCCAGGCCATGGACCCACTCCGGAAGATAACGACCAGTCCATGTAAGACGGACTGATGGGAGTAGTGGCGAGGATCATATGCTGCAGGCCTCCCACAGCTGCATCACACTCGATGGCGTCGAACTGAGTTTGACACCATAATCTCCCGTCTGTGGGGAGCGAGGCAAGCTCGGAATCGTCGAAACCGTCAAAGTAGGTGCTTGCAGAGCTCGACTCGGCTCCCTCCGCTAGTTCGGAGCACGTCTGGAACTCAAGGCCTGGAGGAGGCGACGGAATTGACGGCACAAAGCCTTCAGATCCCTCACGAAGCTTCCCAAGAACTGGAGATACAGCCTCCTGGGAGTCTGCAAGTAAGTTCAAAGTCCTGGCTGACATCTGCCCCAAGACTCGTGCGAGAGGTGCCAGGACAATTGCAACACCTGCGGACTGGGATTGGCAAATGTCCAACAAGTGTGGGCCACAGGCTTCTGTGTGACCTCGGGCCACAAGTGGCTATCCGAAGAAGGCTGGATACAACTTCACTTCTGCTTCTGCCAACTCACGACATCTCTTCACAGCACGCTCCATACAGAACCACCACCATGCCTCCCAGCCCTGTTGCCTTTACAGGAAATCAGGCTGATGCTGTCTCAGGTAATCTCAGGTACAAACTCGTATAAGTCAGGATGACTAGCATGAAGCGCCGGTTCGTTTCGATCGTGACCAGTGTTCAACCTCACATGAGGTCCACTGAGCATGGAGCTGAAACATAACACGCGGGACCAAGCCATCCAAGCCTCTTCTTCACTTGGAAAGTCAGTGCCTGCCGGAGGTACTACAGCAAGTGCAGTACGCAACCCAATATCTGCCCCGCATCGGCAGCATGTGAAGCATTCTGTACTCGCCTGCTTGCACATGGTCGCGGTGCTGTGGGCCTGGTTCCATATGCAACACTGACGCAAGCATCCTGTGCCAGCTCCGCAACCAGACAACATGAAGGACAGTTGGAGGCTTCAAGCCAAGGGTCACCCGCGACAGGAGGGAGTCCACATCGAGTCCTGAACTGCAAACAGCTCCACAAAATACATCGGCAGCCTCTATGACTGAGGACGCAGCACGTGCATCGCCAAGCAGCCCAATAGCCTCAATTGGCCCATGGCATGTGCCACCATTCTTCTACAAAGCAGGCGTGCGATGGGCAAACTTTCCAAAACAGGAAAGCTGAAGGTGCGAAAGCCCCAGTGGTGGAGATGACCAATGAACACAAAATGTGTGTGGCCAGCAAGAGAGAAAGCTGGGTCCGCTCCCATTTTCAGGGATTTTGAGGTGCCACAGCATGACACAGATACGGAGGGTCTGCCAACCAAGACGTTCTCAAGACGCGGCGATGTGTAGACGGGATGCCATGTCCATGGGCAGGTTGACCCTGAACGCCGTTAATGTGATCCGAATTGCAGACATGCGGGTCGCCGCTAGCAACTAGAAGAGCGAGGCTTTTGGTGACATCACTGCGTTGCACATTGAACAGCATTCGTTGGTAATCCGAAACACTCTCTCACAACTGGTTCACATGGCTCTTCAGCAATCACCACTGAACGTGATTCTCTCACTCTCCTAAACTCTGCTCTCTCCAGGGGCGAAGCTCAGTGTTGTTTACCGATCGAAACAACAGCGATGCACCATGCACCATGTACAGCTTGAAAGCGAGCATGACAAAGAATAACTCTCCATGACACTTATGGTCGGTTCACACGAAGAAGTTCCACAACAGCAACAAAAAATCAAGCAAGAGGATGTCGGAACAATAAAACTCCTCTCGACGTCATCATCAAAACTTTTACACCTACATCGATCACTAAGCTGCAGCTGCAGAAGAAACTCGACGGCCAAAGACCAACGCACAGCCGACACATCCTCAAGGCCCGTCGTGCTCAGTGGGAGATGAGCTCTACAAAAGCACGAGTCTAAAGCCCGATATGTCGAACCAAACCGTCCAACAGATCTCCAAGGTTGCACATGGACTCCCGGTCATCTCCCCAAAATAGGACCCTTGGACAGGAAGGAGAAGGGAGAACTTTTCAAAGCGATCAGCGCAGAGGCCTGACAAAACAATTGGCTCCAACATGATGGCCACCTCAAGAAGAAGGGCAAGAGCAAAGAAAATTCGCCAACAAGGGAAGCGACAAGCAAAGATACGACCAACATGATGAATGATGGGAGGATGCACTTCAAGCCAAGTCTAGCCAAGCACACTCAAGGCGAATGATGCTTTCACAGCCCAGATACTTACGCACGACGCGTGCACGTATTCAACACGTGACTTGAAACTTGCCGTATCTGATCTTGCCGTGTTCTGCTACATGTGCTGGTCGCTGGGCGGTCGTCCCCATCTCGTGGCAACGAAGGCGTGCGGCGTTTACACCTCGTGCTGCTGAGCTCGATATCGGCACGGCGGCGGCGTCTTGGTTCCCTTCTTGCTGCGGATCTCTTGAGCTTTGTTTACAAGAGCTGATGCTTCCTGATACCACACAGACTATGCCGAGGCAAGCGCAAGAAAGCCACTCGTAGAAGCACATATTTGGTGCAAACCACGTCCTTCACTCAAAGCCAAGATTGTGAGCCGAGTTGGGGCTTGCACTGATGCCACATGCTCTCCTTCAGTGCTCGGACGAGTGCGGCCAGATCTCGCATCTGGACAGACGTTTCAACTTTCTGGCAAGGACTTCTAAACGAGGATTGCCCTGCTATTTCGAATTCTGTGTAGCACACATGCTGTACTGCGCTTGTTAACGCAGCGTATATTCCTTCAGCGTTGGGTTACTCGGAGACCATTGGGGGTCGTGCCCTGAAGCAAAAGGCACAAGTGTAATTCGAGCTCAAGCTTGTAGCAGTTATTCCTTGGCCTGCTTCCCTGGGATTCAACACGCACAAACCAATTGTGCACAGCCTATGCTCTCAGCGCCTCAGCTATCAGCTAACAGCAAGCCCAACGGAATTGCCTGGCCGGTGCGGCTCGTCACTGTTACCTCCCCACTTCGCACGACCTGCTCTCATCAGCGATGCATGCCAGCACGACTGCATCTTGTCCGAGGGTCTTACGGGCCGATGGGAAGAATCAGCAGGTGCTTCTCGTGTTGCGTTGCTTCCTCGTCGCAGAGATTGAATGAAGCTGAGATGCTTTGAAGGCAGTTGTGTGCTGTGCACGTGCTTTGTGGCATCTGAGAAGCCCAGCGGTTCTTCGCCACAGCATCCTTGGATTCGAGCGGAAAGCTCGAAGATGCTCGAAGATACTACGTTACTACGACCGCATGCAAAAGACAGCTTGTCAGTCCAAGCTTCGGAAACAGAGATGGCATACTCGGCTGAGAGCTTCGCTGCCAAGGACCTGAAGGCATCGAGAACCATTCAGCAAGCTCCCTGCCAACAGCTCCTGGAAGCAGCGCAGCAGATAAGAAGCTCAAAGACCCAGGTTTACAGGAAGCAAAGAGTAAAGAGTGCCTTGAAGTGCCTTGCATGTCTTGACAAAGGGCTTCACTTCACGCGTCGCTGTCGCTTTACTCTGTGCTGTCCACGGCGCTCTCCCAGGTTGGACTCGGCGGCCTCAAAAACACTGTTGAAGCCCGGCCAGTTCTTACACATACACATATACATCTAGGTGTATGTTTTTCCCGATTATTATTTACACACGTCTGTACACACGTCTTTCCACCCGTCCTGAGTGGCTGTGGCGTTGCTGCGCCAGGCCTGCAATGGGATTGTAGGCTCAAAACCTCCTGTGGAATGAAAAGCCATCTGTGCCTTGTCGTTGGGGTGAGACCTCGCTTCAAGAAGACTGCAGCTGCTCCGGCAACGCGGACATATTTACTGCAAGGCGCTGCAAAGTCACTGTGGCCATCTGTGCTGCAGCCTCGGCTTCGCCGGACTTTGCTCTGCTAGCATATAGGCAGATAAACAAGGCAGGCCACGCGCGCAGCTTCTGATGCAACTTCCGAAAGGTGAACCGCAGACTTGCCCGCATCCTACATCGAAGCGCTCCACAAGTAGCCCAAGAGCCCTCGTTCATGATTGCAGTCGATTTGTCCTCCGCAGCTTCAAACGCGGCGTCAGTTGCCTCCGTCAGGGTCTTGCCGAAGTCTACGGCCGAGTTTCCGTGTGTCCTCTCCACGCGACATTCAAGAATTGGCATTGTGACTGGCAGCGCATGGACAGCAGAGTCCCGGAAGAGCGACTCTGCACTTCCAATGAAACCTTTCGGGTTTTGGAGCCAAGCCATTCAACAAGCACAAAGACAGACAATCTATGCACAGCTTCCCGGCACTTCGGCACTTGTAAGGTCTTGTAAGCAATGAAGATCTTTTCGGAAGCCCAAATAGACATGCCCCAGGCTACCAGAATCGCCAGAGTCCAATGAACTCCACCACCGACGACAGTAAACAGTTGAAACAGAATCGAAGCAATGCCTTGGTAGCCGTAGCGGTAGCGCAAATTAAAGGAGTTCACCACCCACCCACACCAACCCGCATGAAGTGAGTCAAAACGAGACAAGGGAGACAAGCTCCGCAGACTAGTGACTAGCTGGCACTTGCACATGAAGCTAGACAAAGCCTGGCATTCATCACGGCAAGGGGAGACAAGCTCCAAAATGCCGGTATTCACCCCCAAACCGATTCCACACAAAGGGAGAAGGGCACCACCGTGAACAATGCTTAGAGTCTGAAGGCGCGATGGGTGAACAAGGCTGTGGAACAAGAGTGGGCGAGATGAATGCTACGCTTTCTTGAGCCTGTGGTTTACTATTAAGGAATAAGGAAGGTGAACAAAAGCCATTAAATATGCAATCAGTGGGGCCTTTTCCCTTCACCTCTTTTTCCCCCTTAGACTTCGTACTTTTTCGGAGCGAGCTTACAAATAGCTAAATTATAAAGGCCAGCGAGGGTGCGATGGGCGAACTAACCTTTCGAGTCTTTTGGGTGGTTTCCTGACGATGCTTAGCTCGTGATTCCAAGGTGTTACACGAGTTATAGCCGGAGACCTGATGCTGGGGTCTCGAGGTGGGTTCTTCGTGGATTGGAAAAAAGCGTCTCAAGGTGTGATGGAAACAAGGCTGCGGAACAAGATCCTAGAGTCAATTCGGAGGCCAACCCCCCATGAAGGGAGACAAGAGGAGACAAGCTCCGAAAACCCTGGCATCCACCACCGCAACCGCCCTCAGGGAGACAAAGGAGAGACAAGCCCCGACATTCACCACGCACACCGCCTGAATCGTCGGCATCTCTCTTTTGCCGACGAAGAAACCATACAGCAACTAAATGGCCACCCACATGAAGGTCGACACAGGATGACAAAGACATGCAACGGAGGAAGACCAAGGGGCAGCAATAACACCAATAGTACTAGCACATTAATAGCATCAGTCGTAGTAGCAGGAATGGTAAACGAAGTTGCAGTTATTTGTAGTAGCTATGCCAGCGTAGAGCTCAAAAGAGCGAGAGACCATGGAACACGAGAGGGCGCCCCAAGGGACGGCCGAAACACAATGACACCACTCCAAGCGCTTCAGACAACGTTCCATTGCAGGCGAAGAGCATCCCTCAAAACAAGTCCCAGAGCACCCAAGAAGCCCACCCAGAACACTTATCGTGTACGGATTCCTTGTTTCCACTTTGCCTTCGGGGGAGAGATAGAGGTTGAAATAGAAGGTACCCCCACTCTTTCTCCATAATTCCACAAGTCAGCGTCACAAAGTCGCAGTTCCGTGAATCTTAGGCCCCTTTTGGGGCATCCTTCGAACTACGTAATCGGCTTCAGTCAGCCCATCCATCCACAACAGCCTTCTACAGAAAGGCCTGCATAAAGGAAAGGTCCCTGACCGGAGTCACCTGCAACATTCTCACTGTCCAAGAAAATCTTCAGCGAGCTCGCATGGCAAAGCAGGCCTCGGAGAGCTGAATAGAATGGAGGGCAGAGGTTAGCACCTGAGGCTCGGATAAGTCGTTCTCCTGCGCACAAGTGCATCAATGGATGACACATTCTCTGGACTACGAACCGCCTCATGTGCAGTGACATGGTCTTTCTTCATGGCCTGAGCTGAATGCTCAACGAGGTTCGGCTTGACACCGCTGGCGACACATCAAAACATCAGCCGAGCTTGCAGCGAGAGCTAGCCGGGCAATCCCCAGCAAAATGCGCAGCGTGATGGCCTCAGGTTTGCGCCCCTGTGTGTTGAATGTTTCGTTGTAGGTTCGCAGATGCTCCTTGACCAATTGCACCGCGTGCGCTCTTTCCGTTTTATTCGCACTGGGGCCTTCAGGCTGGTATGGAACGCCCCCAACAAAAGGTGCTTGGGCTTTCCAGGCGTTCTGAACCGATTGAAGATCCTTTCATAGCAGGCTCGACCACTCCTATCAGAGTTTGGGGAGGGAGGGGTTGCGAGCACACCCTCGAGTCCAACAAATGAGATACTGCCAACTTCGTGTCCGCATGAAAAATTGCGTTCCATGTGGGGCTTCTTGGACACTGGACTCGTCCATAAGGGCCTAACTGGATGACTCAGAGACTGTGTCGATGACAGAAGGCTTCAACGAAAGACGAAAGCCTGCGAGCTGTTCGCGAACCCGCGATCCTACATCTTCGAATGAAACAGACTCAGGCATGAAGGCAAGGTCGCACGAATGCTGCCTGAAGACCAAACCTGGGTCCTTTGCAGAAAACTAGCTTTGTTATAAGTTGTCTGACTAACTAGTTGGCAAGGCAACCGGGCGCAGTTCTCTTCCGGCCCTCTTGATTGCGCGTAAGCTGCTAAAGCACTTGTCAACTGGAAGGCCCAGACCATGGAACTCGAAGAGCTTGACGTCCCTGACAAGCTGAAAGGTGTTGTCACGTTGGGCCAAAGTTCGGCTACCGCAGATCTGCATAGATTTGGAAAGGCTTGGTGCGTACTGTAAGATGCCCATGCCTCAGTTTACTCATACTGCCATGAAATTCCACACGCAGGGATAGACAGAAAAGGGCCCCGAGACAAGCTCAAGTAAGTAAAACTCTAATGGCCAACGCCAGCAACTGCAGTGTGGCTACATGAAAACTCTAATCGCACAACGAAGTCTGGAAGCGACCTCGAGGTGGGAGTTGATCGTGGGCCAGTCCGCGTCAAGTGATTGAGACTCAGATCACTGGCTGGCTGGCAGGCACACCTGGGCTTCCAGGCTGCTCCAGGCTGAGCCTAGCGCACGACTTACTGCACACAACTGCTTCCATGGCGCATGTTCTCCACAGCATCATCATCTGGGAGAACTTGATTATCCAGTTGTGGGCCAGACAGACCAGCGAAAAAGGTCTCCATGAACACTGCGTTGAGCAGCTTCGCAACGCTCACTTGCAACAGTAGAAGCTAAGCCAAGCTATACGTACAAGCAGAACACAGGCGAAGCATTGGGCGAAGCATTGGAGAAAAGTAAGGTTTCCGCAACCCTTGAAATTCCTGCCCTGGCTTACAGCGACAAGACGGTGCAAGAAGCCATTCTTTCGTTTACAAGTTTTACGAAATCGAGCCCTATGAATTTAAAAACCATACACGGCTTTAAAAGGGATGAGTTTATGAAGTTCATAGGGGTCCATATGGTCTTAAAAAGTGATGGGCTTATATGAATTTAAGCGGGGTCCTTCTGGTTTGAAACGGGAGTGTTTATGAATTTCAATGGGACCCATATGACTTTTCGACATTCAGAGGGCCCGGGTGCCAGGACATTAAAGAGGGTCCCAAAACAGTGAGTCGAGAGCCCTGGCCTTGGATTCCTGAGGCCCGGAGTCTCGAAATCGAAATCCAGAGGGCAGGATTCCTGAAAATTGAGGGCCCCCAGCTTCGGCCATTAAGCCAAGGGGCCAAGGCATCAGAGGAGGGTTCCAAAACAGAGCTCATTTATAGGAGATTCGGGCGGCTCCTCGAGCACCCCTTTGCCGGACCGATACCAATTCTTCATGTGATGTTGCTAACCGGGTAGGAATACAAATAATCACAACAGTAAGAGCTATGACAAACATCCAGTCAACAAGCTTACCAACAGCATAAAGGCACAGGGCCCTGGGATGCAGAAGCATTGTCACGCCCAGCGTTGGCTGCGTTCATGCCACGGCATTCGCTTTTGGCTTTGATTCTGATAAAGCGTGGGAGAGGGAGGAATTGTGGAGGGCGGGAGGGCACTTGTTGGTGCTGGATAGTTCGAAAGGCGTAATTGCACTAGCAAGAAATGGTAAGTGCAATGGTGCTTCAAACGCAAGCAACAAAAAGTCACAGTAGGCGTAGTAGGAATAGCTACAACAGAAAATGTAGCACAGGAAAAGTATTCACACTCGTCATACTACCTGGTAATTGTAGTGGACTAGTATGCGTATAAGACCAGGTAATGAACTGGAGGACCGTTGAAAACCCGAACGCCGACCCTACCAAGCGACCTGCTTCCGTCAAAAAAGCAACGGGACCCCACCTGCATCCCCTCCCCCTCCGCGCAAAAAAAAGCGGTGACCGACAGGATATGAGACCGGCTTGCCGCTCCGGCCTGAAACGACGAACAATATTGCAAAGGGGAAGACATGACTTGGAAACGAGCACCGGGATACCTAGAAGTGGGCTACTCGTGAAAGTATGACCTCTGAGCGTGAGTCTTGAGAAGTTAGGAGCCTCCTGGGACACCTTGAGCCTTGCTGCTTTTAGGAGAACTTGAAGTGTTTTTGAGCATGACTTTGTGAAAAGAGCGTTGTTTTTTTGTTCTGCGGCCGCATTCAGTCAAGACGTGCTCACTTGCAACCCTGGCCGCGGACGGGACATCGCCAAACAGCGTGGTCTCCTGGAGCATGTTCAAGAGTCAAGGTTGGGAATGTAAAGCAGTGACCTTCAGATACAGCACCTTCAACACACTGAAGTAGCGCCTCGCCTGTCTTTGCTTCCATCTGCTTTCTCGAATTACTGGGCAAGGCCAGCCGACAACCGAGCGAGAAGAAGCGGATGTAGCTGCGTGCCATCGCAAACGTCCTCACATCCCAACAGGAGCGATGTAGCATTGCAAGTGGCTCAGTGGTATGCATGCATCGCTTCTCACACATGGATTCGTGTTAAGCTTGTCCTGAGAGAGCTCGCATCCACTTTCGCCACCGTTGGTGAAGTCTACGCATGGTTTAAATACTCCTTCCTGGCACATCTGGTAGCCAGTGCCTCGGCCCCGCTACACAAGACTTCGGATCCCCTCAACATCTCCAGACTGACAAGACTGACATGGTTCCTTGGGCTCCGACAAGGGTTCTGAAACTTGCACGGGTCCGCCTCCTTTGGATCGCATACAAGCGCTGGCCCTTGGCAGACAGGAAGCACCCTGTCAGTGGTCGTCGGCGCTTCAGTTGCTGCTCGAGGTGTCGTTGTAATGGTGGTAGCTAGGGTACTTGTGCTGGTTAGCGTGGATGTTGTGCTACTCTTGGACGTTGAAGACGTTGTGTACGTCGTGGTGGTTGAAGTGGTGGTGGTGGTAGTGGCGGTGGTGGTGATTGTTGTAAGAGGTTCCAAGTCGCTTTGTTGAGCTGTTGTGGCCTGGCTTTGTGACCTGATACTTGATTCTGAACGCACGGATGTAGTTGACAAGGGCAAAGTGCTTCTAGCATGCGTTGTGGACGAACTGCTGGACTGAACCGAAGCAGTTGTTGTGGTCGAAGGTGAAGGGGCCAAGGTTGAGGCTGACGCCGTTGTGGTAGGGGCCTGTGTGCTGGAGGTGCCTTGGATTCTGGAGCTGCTGGAGCTGCTGGAGCTGCTGGAGCTGCTGGAGATTCGGCTGGAGCTGCTGGAGCTGCTTGTGCTAGGTGGATGCGTTGTGGCAGCGCTGGAGCTGGAGCTTTGCTGTGGCGCAGTAGATGTGGCACTAGGTGCGGCTGTTGTTCGGCCAGGCCTTTTGCTTGTTGACCGTGTTTGTCCCTTTCTTCTCGGAACTGCTGTAGTCGATGTCGACTTGCTTGATCTTTTAGGGGAGGCCGGCTGCTTGGTGGTTGTCTTGGTTGTACTTCTTCTAGTTGAAGGTGCTGCTGTGGAGGTGGACTTCTTCGGGGGCTTCTTGTTGGACTTTCTGGTGGAGCTGGTGGGTCGTTTGCTTGTTGTGCGTTTGGTGCCGCTGGTTGTGGCTTTTGCTTCTGTTGACGTCGTTGACGTCGTAGACTCCTTTCGGCTGGTGGTTGTCTTGTGTTTCCTCTGGCGGCTGGTGGTTGTTGAGCTGCTGGACTCCTCACTTGTCTCCACGTTCGATTCTGAGGTGGACTCCGCAGGCTCTTCCGTACTCGAGGTCGTGATTTCTTCTTGGCCTTCAGTCTGCGAATTCTGCGCAGTTGTCGACGAAGCCGAAGCCGACGCCTCTCCGCTCGTCGTTGTCCCCTCGTCATTGGTCGTAGTTTCCGGAGCTTCTGAACCTTCCTCGGCCTCAGCGTCCTCGGCCTCAGGCTCCTCGGAAGTTGTCTTTGTATTTTCATCCTCCTCCTCCTCCTCCTCCTCCTCCTCCTCCTGCTCCTCCTCCTCCCTCCTCTCCTCAGAAGAGCCTTCATCTGTCGTTGTAGCCTGCATCTCTTCAGTGCTGCGCCCAACTACATCCCTGTCCATCTGACTTGTGCTCGTTTCCTCTGCAGTTTCTTCGTTCCGGCTTCTTTCTTCAGAAGTAGTTGACTCAGCTTCTACACCTCGTCCCGAGCGTGCTCTCGATCTGCTGAAACTGCCCAAAGCAGGCGAGTTTGTCTGAAGCTCCTGCTGCGCATTGCTCTTCTCGAGCGACGGGGCAGCTCCCAGAGCAGATACAGGTACACCGGAATCACCGGAAGCCTTCCTTTGGGCTTTGATCTGTGGAGCTCGTCCCAAGGCTGGCTCTGCAGCAAGGTCAACTGATGTCAAAGCTATAGACCTCTCCTTGCGAAGCAGCCGAGAACCGAGATGCAGAGTGTCCTCAGCACTGAGTCGCAGCCCACCAGATGCAGTGACCAACGCGCTAAAGTCCTTGATGGCTGCCGAAGACTGTAGGCACACAGGGAAAAAGAGTACCCATGCAACCATCAGCCAGGCCAACGTGGAGCTTGACGGATAATATGGAAAACGGCCTCTACTTAGAACGAAGCTTGGGGCCAAGCCCCGCTTTGGGCAATAAACGCCTGCAACGCATGGTTCGACTTGTCAGCTCAGAATCATGAGTGTGCATATGTGTGCATTCAACCACTTTCTAGAGGGGGTGGGGGCACTGTCCATGATCCAAGTCTCTTTTCCCAGTTCATTCTGTCACGCGTGTCAAGTTGTGTGAGTGAGGGCTTGGGCACCCAGCCACAGCTTGATTCCAGCGTGCCAGAATTTGCAGCCTATCCCCACTTCACTGCGACATCATCTCACCGGTTCTTCGGGGAGTCTGCGCTTCAAACTGTCGGAAATGCCGAGGTTCGTGAGGTCACTGCGCAAGTCCTTTAACAGGCTCGAACGGAACATCTTGCAAGGCGGTGGGGGGGAGGGGTGGCATCCGAAACCAAGCGAGGTAGTGCTGGAATAACACCAAGTCACCAGGACGCGCCAACGCAATCCTGACCATGATTCTTCCAGAATGTCCCGATCTGCACGAATCAACCACTTCGCAGCTCCGTCAAGAAACAAGGACCTAACAAAAAAAGCAGGAGAGCAAAAAGAGAGCAACCAGGCTCTGCCGGACGCAACAGCCAGTTGCTAAGGCCAAGGCCCGGCTTGAGAAGGGTCGAGATCTTGAACAACACGCAGGACGCCTGGTGAATCTACGCGTCCAAATGTTGCCTTGCAGCCCTGAACAGCATGCTCATCCAGGTCCAGATCTTCAGAGTAAGTTGAGATCAAATGCCAAAGAGATCTGCATCTAATCGCACTCACCACGTCATGATCTTCTCTTCCAAGAACTCTGCCCCACCAGCTGCCGCAGACCTTCGGGGCCCGCCCCTGCAACTGCCCGGCCCAAAAGAAGGAAACGCACACAAACGAAACTTTTTGCAGCTATCGGTTCTATAGGCTATAGGTTTACAAAAAGCTGAGCTCGCTGCCACCCACCACCCGGGCCTCATGCCGTCGAGCCGCAGCACGGTGCTGCTTGCTGTGTGGCTTGATGCCTCGCGATGCCAAATAACCTGGCCTCAGCACTGGCAGAAAGGCATCACGTCCCCCCTCTAAGAGTGGGGAGTGCGAGTGCGACGCGAGAAGCGG